TAAAAGAACCCTCCTTAACCGGTACTGGACATAGAGCACATGCTTGGAACCAACAGAGCTGCAGCAGCCACCCCATGAAAATTATCTTATAACATGGGTCTGATACAGAGAGGCCAAATAACAGCTCTTGTCTAGTCTACAGCCAGCAGTGTTCCCTCTCAGCTGCTGGGCAGCACATCTTCACAACTGATTAATCAGCCCCAACTAGTCAGAGGCTCAGAGCATGGAGTTGACTGACTGAGCAGGGCTGATTAATCACCTGTGAAGCTCTGCGGCCCTGCAGCTGAGACAGAACACTGGTCATTAGCTAAGAACTAACAAAATGTATAGCTGGAGGCCCAGTCAAGTCACCTGTTAATTTTGCTCGGAATGTCTGAATACAGAAGTGTGATAGACAACCCCCCTCCCTGTCATGCTTTATGACAGGGATGGGGGACTTCAGTCCCAGGGGCCAGATGCCCTTTGCTTGCCTGGATCCAGCCCCCAAGCACTGGGTAGCCTGCACTGGTGCTCCAGCCCCACAATCTCCTGCTGCCTCCCTGTGGTGCTGGAGCACATACAATCTATCAGGCTGGGCCCCCTTAGGCTCTGGTGTGGGAGGGGAATGTGGGGAGTGTCTTTCTTCTCAGTCAGAGTGGGTTTTTTTTCTTTTTTTTGCTTCTTACTTGTGTGTAGCTTCCTGACTGATTTTTCTGAGAGTCAGTGGCCCTTGACCCAAAAAGGTTCCTGCCTCTGCTTTATGAAATTATGAAAAGAGAAGACAGAGGGTGTGTCTAGACTACAGAGTTTTGTTGACAAAACTATACCTGCGTCTACACTACCGCTGAGTTCTGTCGACATAACGTCGACAGAACTCAGCAGTTTTGTCGACGCTGGTAAACCTCATTTTACGAGGCATAACACCTTTTGTGGACAGAGTTCTGTCGACAGAAGGTGTTATTGCATATAGGGTTGTGTCTAGACTACAGGGTTTTGTTGACAAAGCAGCTTGCTTTGTCGACAGAACTGAATGTGTCTAGATGCTTTGTCGACAGAAGTGTCGACAGATAGTCGACAAAACTTCTGTCGACAAAAGCCTGTAGTCTAGACGTACCCTAAGAGGGGATATGATAGAAGTATATAAAATCATGAGTGATGTGGAGAAAGTGAATAGGGAAAAGTTATTTACTTGTTCCCATAATATGAGAACTAGGGGCAAGCAAATAAGATTAATGGGCAGTAGGTTTAAAAGAAATAAAAGGAAGTTCTTCTTCACACAGCATGTAGTCAATCTGTGGAACTCCTTGCCTAAGGAGGTTGTGAAGGCTAGGACTATAACAGGGTTTAAAAGAGAACTAGATAAATTCATGAAGGTTAAATCCATTAATAGCTATTAGCCAATATGGGTAAGGAATGGTGTCCCTAGCTTCTGTTTGTCAGAGGATGGAGATAGATGGCAGAAAAGAGATCTCTTGATCATTACCTGTTTGGTTCACTCCCTCCGGGACACCTGGCATTGATCACTGTCAGCAGATACTGGGCTGTATAGACCTTTGGTCTGACCCAGTGTAGCCATTCTTATGTATCTTATGGATACAAATATGCATAACTTGAAGACTTTTTGGACAATTTTATGTCTCAGTCTGCTGAATCTGTGCCTCTTATTTTGGTATATGTAAAATATGAAATAGGAAATTGTTTATGGTTTTAAATGTGCAAATGTAAGCCATCAAGGGTATTTGCAATCCTCCCACACCTCAATGTCTGGGTGATCAACTTAATGACCTGTAAACAGCCTGGTTTTCTCTCTCAAGTTTGAGGTGTAATTGGTCCTAGAAAGACAGGTAACCAAATCAACCATGGAAGGCGGGGAATCTGAATGGAGAAACAAAGGATTCCCACCCAAAAAGGAAGTCTATCTAAACTCGAAAGCTAGCAATCTCTTGGTCTTTGCCTGGCATGACACACACAAGGAATATCCAGAGACCCCCAGGGAGAAAAAGATCTTCCCTGGCTTGGAGCTTTAGTTGAAATAAGAACAATTTTAGGGTAAGTTTGCAATAAGCTTTAGTGTGTTAGAAATAGCTATGTAAACTTGTAATTTTCTTTGTTTTGTCTGTTTTCACTTGCAAGCACTTAAATCCTACTGTTAGTAAATATGAGTAATTTTATTAAGTACAATCAAGCCTAGTGTAAGTAATTGTTACCTGGGAGAGCAATCAATGTGTATATCTTCTTTTCATTGTTAAAGGGGGCTTGCCTAGATTGGCTTTCAATGTGTGAAACTTGGATTCATTTGGGGTTTTGATCCCACCTAGGGATTGGTTTCCTGAATTTTGTGCCTGGAGCTGCATTCTCCTCAAAGCTGAAGTGATTTCTGTGTCTGCATTGAATTTTTTTCGGGAAAGAGAAAGTTGACAAAAGAGGTTGAGGTGGGAGTGTGAGTTCTGGGTGGGAGGGAGGATGCAGGAGAGAGCTGAGAGTAGGCGGGTGGAGGGAAGGAGGAAATAGGGGAACTGGTTCTGGGCATGAGGGGAATGGGAGGCCCTTATCTGGCTCTGTGCCTCCAGCCAGACACTGCCCCTTGCTGCTTCCATTAGCCATGATTCCAACCAATGGGAGCAGTTTCCTGCACTGCCATTCCCCAAGCCGGGGAGGGGAGAGGGAGTGGCAGTGTGCAGAGCTGCTCCCTGCCCCAAGAGTCGCATCTGGCTCTCCAGGCTCCAACCCCCTCTCAGTGGAAAGCTGGCATTGGTGCTCCTACCATGCCAGTGGGAGGGGCACAGCTGTACAGTAATGGCAGTTGTGGGCATGTTGTCTGTGAGGCTATGGCTCCATGCCTTTTTTTTTTCCAGAAGAAGATATGCAAATATGAGCACAATTTGCATATCTTCTGATTCCTTTTGCAGAAGAGGTTTTTCCCATTAAAAGGACCTATGTAGACGGGGCCAAATGTCAGGAAAAAAACCTTTTTCACAAGACCCTGTAAACCTTGATTTACGAGGAGTAAAGGGTCTTGAGAAAAAGTGTTTTTTCCTGACATTTGGCCCCGTCTACATAGGTCCTTTTAATGGGAAAAACCTCTTCTGCAAAAGGAATCAGAAGATATGCAAATGCGAGCGCAATTTGCATATCTTCTTCCGCAAAAGAATAGTAGTGTAGCCGTAGCCTGAGTCTTCCACAATCCATCCTTTTTTCTCCTCCGCTATTGTGTCTATTAACATACTGACCTGGTACTGACAAAGGAACTGAGGGTCATTTCACCTCCTTTTAATTTTGAAGGGATGAAGAGCCCAGATCTGGCCCAAGGAATACTGCAGCTTATAAGGTTCATTTCTCTGACACACACAGGTTGCGTCTAGACTGGCAAGTTTTTCTGCAAAAGCAATTGCTTTTGCGCAAAAACTTGTCAGCTGTCTATACTGGCCACTTGAATTTGTGCAAGAACACTGACTTTGTAATGTACAAAATCAGTGCTTCTTGTGCAAATACTTTCATGCTCCCGCTCGGGAAAAAGCCCTCTTGTGCAAGTATTCTTGCACAAGAGGGCCAGTGTAGACAGGGAAGAACAGTTTTGCGCAAAAAAGCCCGATGGCTAAAATGGTGATCGTGGCTTTCTTGAGAAAAATCCTGTCTAGACTGGCCATGGATGCTATTGCGCAAAAGCACTTTTTGCACAAAAGCATCCATGCCAATCTAGATGCTCTTTTGTGGAAATACTTTTAATGGAAAAACTTTTCAGTTAAAAGTATTTCTGCAAAATCATGCCAGTCTAGATGCAGCCACAGTGTATAGATAAATAGATTCCAAAGCCAGAAGGATCCACTGTGACCATCTACACTGATCTTCTTTTAAAAACAGGCCATAGAACTCCTCCACAACAATTCCAAGGGAAGATTTTTTTTTTTTTTTAGAAAAACATCCAATCTTGATTTAAAAATTGGCAGTGATGGAGAATCTACTACAGCCTTCAGTAAATTATTTCAGTGCTTAGTTACTCTCACTTAGTGTTACCAGATCACAAGAGTAAAATATGGGGACTCGTGGGGGTCAGGAGAAGCAGTTACAGGCTCACAGCCTTCACTGAAGTCATAGGAAGGGAGACACAGACCTAGGGATCTGTTAGGAGAGCTCATAGTCCCAGCTCTAGCTCCTGCTGCAAACTGCGGGTTCATAAGTCTGACCCTTGCCACAAGAAGGGAGCAGGGAAGTGAGGGCTGGGGCAGGGAATTGGGTTCTGCATTTTTTTTTTTGCAGGAAAAACAGCTGTAGCCAAAGGGGGCTGTGGGAAGTGGCAGAGGGCTCTGGCGGGGGAGAGCAGAGGTGGAGCTGCAGCTGGAGGAGGGATGCAGCAAGCCAGCAGCGAATCTGAGGGTGGGGAGTGGGTCAGGAGGGATGCAGTGGCAGGGGAGACATGCATGGAGGGGGCAGGACCTGGGGCAGAGCAGAGGATGGACTGTGGGCAGTGCTGATGGCACTCTAATGTCTCCTGATATTTACTGTTGTGCTCTGGTCACCCCATTAGCAATAGAACAGAAAGAAACTAACATTAGTGTCAAAAACAAGTACTTTGCAGAGAACAGATGATCAATAAAAATATTCTTCAAACTGCCAGAATAATTAGTGTTTGCTTTTTGCCAGAGTTGTCCATGGTGTAACTCAACATGCTTTAATAATGTGGACAGCCATCTGGCTTGTGTCATGTTTTAGATAAATTAATTTCTCACTGTGCCTCTTTCACAGAGTCAGTCTTCCATTAATAATTACATTTCATTCAGAGGTTGTAATTTTTAAGTGATTTGCAAACTATAGTAATGGCCAAATTCTGTTCCAGGCAAGACCCAACCAGGGTCTTAAGTGAAGGGAAGTAAAATAGAGCAAAAATAGGAAGTGAATAGAGAGTAGGAGGCAGAGCATTCTTCTTGAGGCACATTTTAAAAACACACTCTAGCTCCTAAACAGAAACTTCACAGCTTCAGTGCAAAATTTATTTACCACAATTTCCTTATTTTTGTTCGAAGGCTTCTGAGGCTGATTCATTTCCTGTTACCAGAACCCTATTAAGCAATTGTAATTTAAAGATAAAACTCAGCCTGAAAGCCTTCCGGCCAAAACACCATCCGGGGAGCGAAGAGCAGCACCTTTTATGGCTAAAATATTCTGTTTTCAATGTTGGATGATCTGAGAGACTTGAGGATCATGAAAATCACACTGTCCCTTCCCGTGCTGCTAATACTGGATCTCTTCATTTGCTGTTACTCTTTTGAACCAAGCTCTTTACCGGATATAAAAGACAAGCAGTTTATTGAGGAGTGTGTGACGACTCATAACCATTTTCGGTCCCAGGTGAATCCAGCAGCCAGCAACATGCTTCACATGGTAAGGGGACCTTCAGCAATATTACTCCTCATTATTGCATACAGTGAGGTGAATATTGCAACAGTGTTAACTGTTCTCATAAAGATTTACTTGTGTAACTTGTTACAAAAGCTTCTCAGCTATGCCAGCCCTCCTTGAATCATAGTTTTAAACCAACAAACAACAACAAAAGCCCAACAAATCAAAGCTTAGAACCACTTCAGTAAGACTACAGTGATCACAGCTGGACACATACTTGCTCAATATCTCCCCTGGATTCTGATTGCTTTTTTTAACCCTCATTCTTACATTTGAGGTATATGCAATGAAAAAAATCATTGTTTTAAATGGTCATAGCTCAGCAGTTGTCTGTGATTTATATGGACCCCCTAAATATGCCCTTGAGTTGGTTTTCTCCCCTCCCACCTGGCTCTCTCTTCAGTGTTATGTGCTATAAATCTGAACAGGAAGAGGACAATGTCAAGTCATTTTGTAGCACTTACAGCCAAGACTAATTGCCTGTAATGCTGTCTCTCAGGACTTCATCCAACAAGAAATTATTCACAGCTGCTGGTGGTCCTAAAAGCTGGAGGTGCTGGGTTGGCAGAAGAGTCCCAAAAGAAACTAAAGACAAATTTAATCAGGAATGAAGTCCCTGGCTGTCAGTTACAGGATAATTCAGGCTTTGCATTCACCTAATTATTACTGTTGTAAGTACAGTATCTACCCATCCCATGCTGGGGTACAGACAGATCCAGCCTTCCAGTAAAAATCCCCTTAAGGGGATAACTGCCATTTGTCAACTGCAGCAATAATTCCCTTTTACCTAGTTCAAGGGACTCTCAAACTACAATGATAAATGTGTTGTAAATACATAACAGAGACCCTGCTGTTCTGTTCAGAGGGCCAAATCTTTGAGGGTTTTTTTTTCCGTTTATTTCAAAATGCTGAGAAACATCCTACCTGACTAGTTATCATTCTTGTTAGGATGTGTACTATTTGGACTATGATGCTTTCTGCATCTTCTTGTTGGAGAAATCTTCATTACTGTACTTCAAGTCAGGGAGATCAAGATATATCTGAGCTGTGGCCAAATGTATTCCAGTCACCCAGGAAAAAATCTGCCACCACATAAGATGCACTGTGTCCATGCTCAGCAACATCTCTGCCGAACAGTCTAATAGAGGCAAGGTATTTTTAAAGTCTCTCGCAGGCCCCCACCTTCTGCACTCAAAGTGCCAGAGTGAGGAACAACCCTGACAGGGTGGCAACAGTGGGATGCCATCTCTGGGTGCCCCTTAAGATACTACCTCAACTGACTGTCAGTTTTGTTTTTCTGTTGTCACCCCCATCCACCTGGCTCCTATTTCTCCCATCTGTTATGTCTCTAGGCTTCCCATCTCAGATGTAACTCTGGAGCACTATAGGAAGGGCCTCTTAGGAACTGTTCCGTTTGCATCAGGAGAGCTAGCTCTTCCATAGGCTTAACATTTTCTCCTGATACCCATGCATCCCAGTTCCTTTTAATCTTGTAGGTAATTTGGAGCACTGTGATACCCAGTTTCCACCTTATGACTCTGAAGCGGCAATGGGCATATTCAGTGGTGAGCCCCATCTTAAGTCTGACCTTTTGTTTAAAAAGTTTATAGTCATTGATGTTTTCCCTGGGCATTTCAACTGTCACTTCTGTTAGGGGTCCACTCAGTTGTGATTTCAGCTCCACCGTGTACTGGTCTTTGGGGATGCTGTACCCAATATAGCATCTTTCAAAGGCTCTTTCAAAACTTTCTTAGAAGGCCTTTACATCATCTCCTACCCGGTACATTGAGTATTTCCTGGACTGGGGAGTATTAATTGGGGCAGGGTAGTTACTTGGTGTAACTGTAGTGCCCAGCTTCTTAGCTTTCTCTGGCTTAATTTCTAACCACTTAGTCTCCATTTCTGCTTGCTTTTGCTTTTCCTGTGCTTCTAACTGCTTCATTTTCAATTCCACTTCTCTGCCCTCTGTCTTTAGGAAGAACTACATCTCGCCCAGAGTTAGAGGTCTGCTTGTCTGAAGGGTACTCTCCCACCCTTAAGACAGTGGTGGGGGAGGGGCCTGGCCATCACCGTTTGCTCCTGCCCCCACAAGGTTACTTCCCCCTGGCCTCACAGTGACATCCTCTTGTTCTTCTGCCCCGTGGTATGAGTTTTCCCCAGAGGTGGACATCTTGCCCTGATTGGAGGCTGTTAGTCACTGGGTGCTGAATAGTACTCCTCCTGTCCATCACAATGCTTTATGTGGTTCTAACTCCATAGTATAGACCAGGCCTCAGATCACTCTCAAGCCTCTATCAAGAGACATAAAAGAATGAACTTGGGACATTCCTCCTTTTTGAGACGAGCCTTTAAAAATGCAAATATATGTACAGTATATGAGAAGCTTTCCTCTTTCTTTGTGTGCAAGCAACAAAATATAAGAGGCTAATGGTTGTGCTTATGGTGTCTTCAACATCTAAAGAAAATGGCAATTTCAAACTAACTAGACTCATCTTACTGGGAGATTACAGTGGCATTATCCAGGAAGCGGAAGTGTCAAATTCTTCATTGCAAATAAGTTAACTGACAAATGTAACCCTTTGCTCCTGTTCAAAAATCACTTTGTATAAAACAAAAGACAGAACTATGTAGCACTTTAAAGACTAACAAGATGGTTTAGTAGGTGATGAGCTTTCATGGGCCAGACCCACGAAAGCTCATCACCTACTAAGCCATCTTGTTAGTCTTTAAAGTGCTACATAGTTCTGTCTTTTGTTTTAGCTAGACCAGACTAACAGAGCTGCATCTCTATCACTTTTTATGAAAGGCACTCTTTGGGCCTGATCCAAAGGTCATTCTAGTCAGGGGAAATACAGCCAGTCCCTGAGTTGCGAACAGTCAACTTACGATGTTTTGCAGTTACGACTGAAGATGTCATAAATGGTGGACCCTGAGTTACGAACGTGATCTGTGCTTATGAACAGCGTGGTCACGTGTAACTCTATGGGGGCCGACTTATGAACTAACTGAGTTACAACCAATTGCTTGGTCTGTAACCAGTTCGTAAGTCGGGAAGAGACTGTACTGCCAATTACTGCAGTGGGGTTTGGATCAGGCCCTTTATTGCAAGTACTTAGCAGTTTTCAACTGTTCATTAACTCTACAGCTGAAGAAGTGGGGTTTGCCTATGAAAGCTCATGATATTAATATATATATACAGGGTCAACAAAGTATTGTATCTACTTGCCCGTGGCGAGTAGATTTCAGCCTGGCGCCCCGTTCGCCAGCCGCGCGCTCATGCGCAATGCGGGCCATGCACATACGCAGTGTGGGGCTGGCGAGCAGCTTTTGCTGAAATCATCTAGCCCTGTGTGTATGTGTGTGTGTGTGTGTGTGTGTGTGTGTGTATATATATATATATAGCGGGAGTTACCTGGTGTTCCCTGGGAAACCGGAGGAACAAAATTTAGAAAAACAGTAGTGCATTATCTCTTTTGAATGGTAGAAAAGTTACACTGATTTCTATAGGGATTAAAATATAGGTCCGCGTCCTCTCCGGGGGGGAAGGGGGTTGCAGGTGGGGAGCAACCCCGAGTGGAGGGGAGGTTACACACAGGAGGGGGGCTTACACATGCAACCCCAGCTTACGCCCAGGGCTACAGGTGCCATGACGGGCAGGGTGGGTGCCTGAACTGTTGTGCGCGTGGGGGTGGGGTGGGGTGGGGTGGGAAGAGGGTTGCTTATGTAACCTCATGGGTGGGAGGGGGTGAGTCCCGGACAGTGCTGGGGGCCACAGGCGGCGGGCATGGGACCTAGGGTGGGCAGGGCGGCCCCTGCAGCATGGTGGGTTATTTTTACAATGTGAGATTAGGCCCAATTGGGTCCAAAAGTACCTTAAAACCGTCTCCTGGATGAAAGGCTACCCCCATGCAAAGTTTGGTTGCGGTAGCTCTTATAGTGTCCAAGTTATTAGCGAACAAACTTACAAACATTCTCTTTTATATACTATATATATAAATTAATTTCTAAGGTGCCACAGGACTACTCATTGTTCACTTGGGTATGTCTCCAGTGAGCATGCTTCCCAGAACAGGTAAGTGGAAATGCACTAGCTCTGCTCCAGCTGGTTCGCTAAATATAGTGGTGTAATTTAGGTGGCACCATGGGCTAGTTACCCATAACCAGTGTTTCCTGTAACCTGAGCTCCTATGCACCCACCCAGGAGAGATTCAAATGCTGCCCAGCTGATTAGCCGAGTGCCCCCAGCTAGGTTTTTTTTGTTTCTATTGATGTTGCACATAAGTTTATTCTGCACATGGATGGAAAAGATTAGAGGGAACATTTGTCCATAACCCCAAGTTACAGAGTCTGGCAGCTAGCCTGAGTCACTGGCCATGCTGCCCTGGCTACATGGCTATTTTTTGTCATGCTAGTGTGAGCAAAGCCAGCACATCCATCTAACAATACTGGGAAGCTTGCTTCCAGATGCAGTGTAAGACTATTCTTTGACTGTTACTGTGGTGGACCATTCGACTCAAATGACTTTGTTTCTACCCCCTAGCTTTTTTGTGAATAATTTTTAAATGTGATGAGGTGGAACTGATGAAAAATAATGAATGTTTTCTATGTGGTATGTGTACAAAGAGACATTCCTTATGCATTCTCGCTATCTTTTCATGTGAATGAATCTCTGTTTAAGTGAACAAAGATACATTCACACAGATAGCAACTACCAGTTCTTAATATAGTCAAGCAGATCCGTCATTTGGAAATTTGAGTAAGTGTTCGCAAACATTCTTTTTGCAGTACTCAACCATCTCTAGCTAGGAGTAACCACACACAGAGGAAAACTACACAGATTGTGTTGGGAGTATGAGTGAAAAATAGAATAGAAAAGAATAAAAATCTGCGAAACAGGTCCCCAGAACTCTCTCAAACAAATTCATTACTCTCAACAACTGACTGGGTCTCTTTTTTATAACACATAGGAGTTGCACAAATATAAACAGGAACATTATTCTGAACTTGTAATAATATTAAGCCTACAACTGGAAAGCAGTTTTTTGTAAGTATTTGCCTGAGAAGATCTGTTATATTTACTCCTTAAAAGTTATGGAAATATCAAGAAACAGTTTGTCTAAAGTATTGACCAAAGGCCTTGATGAACTAATGAATAGGAAAAAACAAACTTTACTGTAACATTTTGTCAGGCAAATTGTTTTTGTGTAAATTTTGTGAGACAAATCCAAGCTAAAGTCAAAGATTTTATTCATAAAAGCGGACCTTATAGCTCACCGTTCTGAAAGGAAAGTACCTCAGCTTGAGTTAGTGACTAAATGGCAGAAAAACTATCTTGCTTTTGTAGATTTTATGCCCAATTCACTTACAGTCTTAGCTACAAAAAGAAAACTATATATTTGTAGTAGGTTACAAAACAGTTGTCTATACAAATGTTTAGAAATGACATCACAGTTTAATACTGCTGTAACATAATGCATTTGACACATTTCCAGTATTGTACTTAGATAAATAAATGTTATAAGATATAAAGTATCCTTGTGTTTGTTTACATTTCTAGGGGTTATTTAGCCCTTGACAGATCAGTCAGTACTGGATGATTAATCTGAAAGAAGTAATATTTACAGAAACTGAGGTGATGCAACAGAGAAATTCCATAAGGTTAAAATATTCTAAAAACAAAACACCTTGTTCAAAGATTAAATTGATTGGATCACTGAATTTTCACTATAAGAAGGCCCCTTTTTTATAAGGTACAAGTGCAAGGTCCCCAAGCTGAATTTTCAGAGATACAACTTTACGTTTGTCCCAGGAGCCTTTGTGTGCACAAAGAAAAAGCAAAATCAAACCAACACTTGTGTAAACAGGCATTTGAGTGTACAAGTTACATAAATAGCAATTTGACTGTTTGATTTGCATAAACAAATTCTTGTTTGCTTATGGAAATATGGATCTGGAGCAAATATTTTCACTCACAAAATGTGAGAATACAAATTTATAAGCAGAGTTTAAGCCACTCAGCATCTGGCTCTTAGTATGCATGTGACTTGACCTGAAAGTCAAGGGGCACTGCCAGTGGGCATGTGCATTAAGCACTTGGTGACTTTAATGCAGGGGTGGGCAATCATTTTGAGGGGGTCTGGGAGAGAATTATATCTTATACATTTTATGGGTGTGGGGTCTGGGAGAGAATTTGGTGAAGAAGGAGGTTATGGGTTGGGGTGCAGGAGGGGGTATGGGTACAGGAAAGGATTCTGGCCTGGAGGAGGAGTGCAGGAGAGGGTGAAAGATCTGGGAGGGGGTTGTGACCTGGGACAGGGGTTTAGGAGGGGATGCAGGGCTCTGGGCTGTGACCTAGGGTAGGAGGGGGTTATGACACAGAGCAGTGGTTTGGGATGTAGGGTCTGGGATGGGCTTACCTAGGCAGCTCCCAGACAACAGCCCAGCAGCCTCAGGTAGGCTTTCTGCCTTCCACATTCCCCACAAGACCCTCAGAGTAGGTGTCTGAGAGGTCCATGTGCTGCTCTGAGCACAGCAAGCCTGGGGCAGAGGTACCTCACACACTGCCTGCCCTGCAAAAAAAGCAGCTCCCTTTAGGGTTGCCAGATGGTTGAAACAAAAATACCAAACCTTCCCCCCAAAAAAAAAAAATTCTGTTGAAGGGGGGGAAAAGGGGGGGGGGGGGGGAGACCAAAGTTGTTGAGCAAAAAAAAAAAAATTAAAATAAAACAGCATTAAAACAGCATGTCCCCTTTAAGAGTGAGTACAGGGATAGGAACAGGGGAGAGGTTGAGCAGGAAGACCCAGGGGAAGCATTGCTTCCCCTTGGTCCGCAGCCATTTTGTGCCAGTAGTCTTGCAGAACCAGGTAAGCATGGGGTCAGGAAGCTGCGGGAGGGGGCAGGGGGAAGGCTGGGCACTGAGTGTTTGTAGGCTTGCCAGGTGCCCAGCATTTTCACCTCCTGGCCGGGGAAAAAAATCAGAAAATACCAGACATTTCAGGTGTCTGGTATTCTCTGAAGTTTTTTACGGGACAGGAGGTGAAAATACTGGACTGTCCGGGAGGATACCGGACAGCTGGCAACCCTAGCTCCCATTGGCCTGTTTCTGGCCAATGGAAGCTGTGAGATTGTGTCGGTGTGAGATGGCACACAAAGTCTTCCCCCTGCTTGCAGCAGCACTCAGATATGCACAGGCCCCCTGTAGCCAGCTTGAGTTAGTGGAGGATTCACTGCATCTTGGGGTCTTCAAAGTCTTTGAAGGCTTCAATATCTGAGATATAGGTGAGAGGATTATTCTAGAAGGGGTGGGTGAGATTTTGTGGCCTGCACTGTGCAGGGGGTCAGACTAAATGATCATAATGGTCCCTTCTGACCTTAAAGTCTATGAGTCTATGAGACATGGGTCCGATCTAGTGGATTGGTGGGCTGGATCTAGTTCTCAAGCCGTATTTTGCCCAGCCCTGCTTTAATGGTAAAGAATTCAGAGTTAGGATTTGCTCTAGAGTTGCCACCTCTAAGGTACAAAAAATCATAACATATTGGAGTATCCTAAGCCCATAAAACTGAATACTTATGGTGCACCTGAAAATTAATTTATAATGAATCCCATTGATGACTGAAAAGAGTTTAAATGCCTATATTTGTTTTCCAAACAAATTTAATGTTTGACTTATAAACCCATGAGTCCAGCAAAAACAGAAAGTTGATGCACCTATCTGAATGATTGGTTAAACTTGTAAAATACTGATATTCTGGGTGGTTTATCAGTTAGTTCTATGAAAATCCTAGAGCCCCTTCTTGGAACTCTCTGGGAGGGTAGGAATGAATAGACGCAAAGAACATATGAAACTTTCACATCTATGAGGGGCCTCTTCTGGAAATTCCTTTTCGTTACTGTTATGACAATGTAACTGAAAATGGTTTGTGTCTGTCTTTATGCTTGGCAGAGCTGGGACCCAGATTTGGCAAAGACAGCCAGAGCATGGGCAAAGACATGCCAGTTTAAACATAATATCTATCTCAAGATACCAGGGAAGACCCACCCTCGCTTTACTTCTGTTGGAGAAAACATCTGGACTGGCTCTCTTCAACTTTTTTCTGTGACTGCAGCCCTCGCTCTTTGGTTCAATGAGTTCAAAGACTACACCTATAGCACACGTGCTTGCACCAAAATATGTGGCCATTATACTCAGGTGAGTCATTTGTTACAGAATTATTTCTGCACATGTGAAATAATGGGAGATTCCTATGCCAATAAATGCTTTTTTGATGTCACTGATTTTGAAAGGACCCTGGAAATAAATAGGATTGTTTTAATCCTTTCAATTTAAAGTTAATTTTTGTTTCCTCGAAAAGATGCTCTTCTAGCAGGGAATGAGATACAGACCTTCAGTGCTAGTCATTCCAGTATGGGTTATGTAAGAGTTTGCTCAAAATTAAAAATAGGATGAGACTGGAAATTGGCTACAGGGGCATTCAGTTTTAAGTCAGCAATTCAAAAACATCAAGCTTAGATTGGTAATGACTAAAAATCATTATTACTGCTATTAGCTGTGTAAGGCAGAACTTATTTTCAATGCAACTTTATTGGTCTGATATTAATGGCAAATATGCATCATTATTATGTGCCAGTTGCAGGGTTTCTTTATTCTATGTACATATGCTCACATATGTACAGCTCTTGCTTTTATAAAAAAACAACTGCCTTCTGATCAGTGTCCTATATGTTAAGCTAGAAGACTTATCCGGCATTGCCCAGATCCTTCAGGGCAGGGGGCTGGTGGTGTGGGGAGTGCAAAAGAATCGGGACACAGCTTTGGGGATGTGAGGGGGAGGGAAGGAGGTTGGGGCCATGGAGGGGTGTGAGAGTGATGGTTGTGGGGTGAAGAGGCACTCAGGGTGGGGGAGTCTCATCGAATGGGGCTTTCTTTCCCCCTCCCCCAGCTGGCAAGGTCTTCCCCCCCCCCCCCAGCCCTTTTGACTGCCAGGGGCCTTCTGTTCCCCCCTCCCCTCCGTCACCCTTCAAATCCCTCTGGCCACCAGGAGCCTTCAGTTTCCTCCCACCTCCAGCGCTGTGGCCAAAGGCCAGGGGTGGCGGTGGGGGTGGGGGGAAAGGAAAGGGTATGGGGCAGGGAGGCTACTTACCTGGTCTGGTGGCAGGCAAGATGGCAGAGTCCCAGCCCTACTGGCCACTCTCTTGGTGATACAGTTGCCCCCAATGGTTACTCTGCAGTATAGCTCGCCTCAGTAGTCACTTTCAATAGCATGTCCATCCTCTCTGTGCCTCTCCCTTTTTATGCTATGGAAAACAGTCCCATTCTCAGCACTTCCTGTTTTCTTGGCACAACCAAACCCTGATCGTGCTTTAAGTTTTGATAAGAGGAAGCTGCATATCAAATTGGATGGTCTTAGCTCTTACCACTTAGGAGAAGATCTTGAACAAATTGACTCAGACACACAACCCTCTACAATACAGAGAGAGATGAATTCGTGGCATCAGTCTAGTTCATAGCAGATAACGGCTGGTGTTGCCCATTGGCAGTCTCATCCAAAAAAGGCCAAAGATCATGTGAGCACGAAGGCTGAGCTGTTGAGCTTTGCCTTTAGATAGAAAGAGGACTTCAGATTCTTGGAGTACTGTGCCAGCATTTTTTGTGAGCAGTAAATTCACTAAAACTTGTTATAACAAGTTAAAAATAGGGTGGGAAAGTGTTACTGAACAGAAAGACACATCCTGGGATATTTGGATGCAGGAATCCAGCTGAGAGCCTTTCATTCTCACTGCATAAGGGTAACTTTAGGCGCTATAAGCCAAACTGTGCTCTTAGATGAATGTACCTAAAACTACTGACTTCAGTACATTGGGAATTGAGGTCTATAGTGTAGACATGGATATACCCTTTACCTCATCTGTGGGTTCTACTGTAAATGGTATTCTGGATGTTCCACATTTTCTTAGCTGGTATAGACATTCTATTTCCAACCTGCTGATCCACTTACCTCCCTAGTTCTGTCTCCCAAGAAATGAGGCCTCAGCCTCATTACTTATGTCCAATTACTCATGTCTAGCTGGACCTACACTCTGTACACGTAAAGAGTCCCTAGGATACATTCTTCTTAATTCAACAATTCTGTGTCACAACTACAGTAGCAGTTGTCTCTCTGTGGTTTGGTGAATGAGAAATCAGGTATTTTACTGTAGCTTATGTCTACTTCTTTTTAGATTGTTTGGGCGGCAAGTTACAAAGTTGGCTGCGCTGTTCACTTCTGCCCCAGAGTAACAGGATTTGAGGGATCTAATGCAGCACATTTCATTTGCAACTATGGGCCCGCGTAAGTCCTCCTTACAATTATCTTAAAGGTGTAGTGTGGGGGGAGGAGTGATTTATGTTACTGTCTGGTATACTCGTGTGGGTAATGCTTAAGCAGAACTGAGATCCTCCAGAGGAAGCTAGGCCCAATTCTTTTTGACCAGGAACACGGCTACCCCATGAAATCAATAATGGGGCCAAAGAAAGAGGCAAAATATGGAAGGTGCTGGAAGGAGAACTGCACTGAATATTTGAGCAACTGACCTGATGACTGGTATATCACTGACAAACCACACAGCCAATGTTACTGCTAAGCATGCACTTAAATTTGAGGGTTTTTTTTTTTTTTTTTTTTTTTTTGAGGGGAGAGGCGTTCAACCCTAATTTTTAAATTTAAACCCCGGGATTTATCCCTCAACTGAGCTCTTATCTGCATAAACTTCTCTACTCCTTTTAGCTATTCAGTGGCTCTTTGTGAGAGGGGAGAGTTCTCCAAAGTAAGTCTGTCATTCTACACAAGGGCTATGTCTAGACTGGCATGATTTTCCGCAAATGCTTTTAACGGAAAAGTTTTCTGTTAAAAGCATTTTCGGAAAAGAGCATCTAGATTGGTACGGACGCTTTTCCACAAAAGCACTTTTTGCGGAAAAGCGTCCGTGGCCAATCTAGACGCGCTTTTCCGCAAAAAAAACCCGATCACCATTTTCGCAATCGGGGCTTTTTTGCGGAAAACAAATCTCATCTGGCTACACTGGCCCTTTTGCGCAAAAGGGACTTTTGCCTGAACGGGAGCAGCATAGTATTTCCGCAAAAAGCACTGATTTCTTACAGTAGGAAGTCAGTGCTTTTGCAGAAATTCAAGCAGCCAGTGTAGACAGCTGGCAAGTTTTTCCAGAAAAACGGCTGATTTTCCGGAAAAACTGGCCAGTCTAGACACAGCCATAGAGTAAGTATTCACTGCAATTGGAGGTGTGGTGGCAGCTTATGGGGCATATCTGAGTTAGCTTGAAGCTAACCAGAGCAAGTGCTAACCTCTGTAAAGCTGCAGCGACGAGGAGTCCACCCTGGGCTTGCCACCCAAGTAAGCACTAAGTGTTCCAGGTTCACAGCCCGAGTAATTACCCAGGGTCTTGGGCAGGCTTGTCCAGCCCCACATTGAAACCTGTGCTGTAGCCTCACTGTTCTCAATTTTCAGGCTTGTTAGTTTACAGATGGCAATCATCCCTCCTCTGCCCCCAGCTGCGGTGCAGACATACTCGGGTAGCCAAGATTGACTGCAATACACAACTGTACTTGCAAATATGTCAAACTAGTACTTTATATAAAGTGTAATTCAGGGAGCTTGGCCTTCTAATACAGTATCAGGACAGATGTGAGCCAGAAACCTATTGGCATCTGTTACCACTGCTGAATAGTAGATTGAAACTCCAATATGCTGTGTTTCTGGTATACCAAAAGTCTATCCTTTAGCATGTGAGCTAACTGAACCCAACTATACTGCATTTGGGCATTAGTTTCATGAATGTACCATTTGATTTAGTGGTGATCACGAGAGCACAAAAGCTACAGACTACTTAATTTTCACTTAATCCTTAATTTGAGTGTTATATTCTCAAGAGGGTTTACTTGAGATTACATATAACACACAAATATGGGTGAAATCCTGGCCTCAGAGTTCAGAGAGGCTAGAATTTCACCTAGACAGTCTCTAGAAAAGAAGCAAGATAGATAAAGAGGAAAAGGGAGAGAGAACAGATACCTATAACAGTTTGCGTATGCACTGAAATAAAATAGCTCCCTTACAGATTCCCAGCCTGCCTGGCTGGCAGCGTTATATACTGAAAGGTGTAGTGTGCACAAGAAAGAGCAACCACCCTGTAGCGTAACTAAGTACACCATACATTCAAAGTTCTCAGCCCCTGAAAGTTGAAATTTGGCAGTATTAAACTGAGTTCCTAAACATGGGGTTCAGTCATTCCTGCGCTCTTCCATTTCCATGATCTGTGTGCAGTAGTATTCCCTCCTTATAAAATAATTCCAACAAAATGTGAACACAGGATACTCTAATTCTTCCCATGGAGGTCAATATCAGAACAAAAGTTGTTCCTCTTTTCAGTGGGAATTTTCCAACACAACCTTATACAACAGGAGTAGCATGCAGCAAATGCAATGGTGAGAAGTGTGAAAACCAGCTATGTGGTAAGTAAAAAGGAAACTCCCTACCTGAATGATGTCCTATGGAAAGACCTATCAAAATGACACAATACCAATGGCCCATTGCCACAAGACAATGGTTGTTCAATTAATTTTGAGAATCTATACCCAAAATTGAAATATGGTAGAGATTCACGTGGAGGAGGAAAGGCAGTCAGAAGAAAGCTTTTCCCACCCCATGTACTAAGAGACACTTAGCAAGCCTCTGAGCATTAGGAGAGAGCCAGGTTAATAGCCCCACCAGTGCAATAAAGCTGTAAAGAAGTGATTGGCTAGCCTGTGATCACAGATAGGCTCAACCTTCTGTAAATCTATAATTCACTCAACAGCACATGCTTCTCTGTCTCCCCACCCCAAACAACATGCTGATATTTCAAAAGGAACATGAAGCAGCCCAGATAACAGTTTTCAGAAAGGCTACGTCTACACTGGCATGAATTTCCGGAAATGCTTTTAACGGAAAACTTTTCCGTTAAAAGCATTTTCGGAAAATCGCGTCTAGATTGGCAGGATGCTTTTCCGCAAAAGCACTTTTTGCGGAAAAGCGTCCGTGGCCAATCTAGACGCGCTTTTCCGCAAAAAAGCCCAGATCGCCATTTTCGCGATCGGGGCTTTTTTGCGGAAATCAGTACTGTGCTGTCTACACTGGCCCTTTTGCACAAAAGTCTTTCGGAAAAAGACTTTTGCCCGAATGGGAGTAGCATAGTATTTCCGGAAAAGCACTGACGGCCAGTGTAGACAGCTGGCAAGTTTTTCCGGAAAAGCTGCTGATTTTCCGGAAAAACTTGCCAGTCTAGACACAGCCAGAATGTTTAGCCCTATGACTGTAGTGCTGTGGATAAATACTTAATAGGCCTTGGGCCAGAGAGAGAACACACAACTCTACAATCCACGGGTTAGGGCACCCAACTGGGCGGTTGAAGACTCAGGGTCCAGTCCCTCTTCTCCAATCTAATGTAGACCCCTAAATCAAACACAGAGGGCAGCCCCTGCCAGCCCCTGGTGGTACTCCTGTGAGGAGTAAGCGTGTGTTCCCATCAGCCTCCCATAGTGGGGATGCTGCAGTGGTTCAGCTCAAAGTAAGCCAAATCTGGCTATGCATTTTGCATAGTTGGATGGTGTACCTTAAGCTGCCCTGCCTAATCTAGTATAGACCAGGCCTTAGTCTGTAAGGTGCCACAGGACTCCTTGTTGGGTTTTTTTGTTTTTTTAAGTGAAGCAGGCATATTTTTATTACACCCACCCTGAGCTTCTCATTTTGTAGCAAGTTTTCAATTATTTTTCATTAAAAATGATTTCTGATAACTATAGTTATGTTCTTTTCTCCTCTTGCCAGAAAATCCAGACCGTGAGAAAGTCATATGTACGTATCACAGTCAGATACTGTTTCTTGAATTTGTTACCTTAAATACAGTTATACGTGAAAATAATTCTTCATTTTATTTATAGATAATTCTGGATGGTACCCAGACTGGGATACATCTTCAGCCTGGGATGAAGCCATGTGTGACCAGTACTGTATTGCTGTTCTAGTTTTAAGGCCATTATTAATTGTATTGACTTTTGGAGCAATCTGGTTTCTACAGAAGCATTATCTCCAATTATCTATAAGTAACTAATAATCATTTGAAAGATTCCAGGAATGTTTTGGACTGTTCAATTCCTATTATTAGTGGAGGAAAATCTTATCCAAGGATTTGTAGAATAAGCCCTGTTGTGTTAATAAGTAGTATGTGACTTGAAAACAGATAAATGCAAAAACAAAACAGAACAACCCAAACAAAAAGGCCATCCACAACACTTAATCCAAGGTAAGAATCTGAATATAGATGATGGTCAAAAATTCAGGGTTGGGGAACCTCTGGCCCATGGGTCCTATGTGGTTTATCAGGATTAGCCACTAGCAGGTCACCACATGGTTTATTTGCCTTTACTTCTGCTGGCCCCGAGCCCTGCAGCTCCCAGTGGCCACAGCTCACTGTTCCTGTCCAATGGGAAGTATAGTAAGTGATGACCCATCCCACACTGCTTCCTGCTGCTTCTATTGGCCAAGAACAGTGAACCATAGCACTGACAGCATTGAGTCACCATGCCCGTAGATGCTCAGGTAAAGCATGAGGTGGCCCCATGGTGGCTAACTGTCACCAAATGCACACTCGTCAGCTGGGTACCACCAGCTGGCCACCCAGGAATTAACTCCTTCAGCCCTGGAGCACCCTATTTCAGCTGGTGTGTCACCCATGGTTACCTACATTCTCCACCTCTAGGTACTGCTCTACCACAGTGCCCTTACTTTGGAGTCCTCCCCATCTGGGAACCCCCAACTTCCCTATACCCATCTTGCCTCAGTGACCCACTGCCTGTCTTCATCTAGCCCCTGCCTCGGGGCAAAACTGCAGTCTGAAATGGCCACTCACCACTGGCAAGGGGATGTGGACCTGCTGCCTTTGCCTCCCCTGGCTGCCTCTGTAGCCTTGGTACTCTCAGGCCTTGCTTCAGGTCCTGCAGCCTGGGAACTTGCCTAGCCAGAGCTTCCCCAGCTCTGCCTGCCTCCTCGCAGCCCTGCTCTAACTTCAGCCCTAGAATTCTCAGGCCTTGTCTGAGGCTCTGCAGCCAGGGAGTAGGGTCAGGCCAGGGCTCCCCCATGCTGCCTTGTCTCAGCACATCACCCAGCTTCCTTAGCAGCTAGATCAATCCTGCTCCCTAATTAGAACAAAACTTCTCCTCCTCCTGGAGCCCTTATTTATATAGCCCCAGCAGGGGCCTTACTGGCTAATTCCTGCCACAGCTGTAGGGCTTTGCTCTCAGCCCTCTCCCAGGGCTGGGTTTTACTCTTAAAGGGCCAGTCTGGGGCAGATGCCCTATCTCACTAACCAGGGCCGTCCTTAGGCATACGCGGAGTAGGCAATCGCATAAGGCACCACGCTTTCTGGGGCACCACTCTGCCGGCCCGGGACGGTGGGAAGCATACGCGTGCGCTCTGCACTGGAGCCAGTAGGGGCGCTGCCAGCACTTACGTCCCCACCAGAAGACCCTACTGGGCTGAGGGACTCTGGCAAGGTGACCCCAGCTGGGGAAGGGAAGCTGTCAAACCAGGCGGCAGCATCAGGGGAACCGGGGCTGCACTGGGAGCAGGGTCATGCGCAGCGAGCCGGAGGGGGCGGGGTCACGCGCGGCGTGGTGCTGAGCGGGACACGGGGGAGTAGAGCCTCGCTAGAGGTGGGACTCGTAGATGCTCAGGTAAAGCATGAGGTGGCCCCATGGTGGCTAACTGTCACCAAATGCACACTCGTCAGCTGGGTACCACCAGCTGGCCACCCAGGAATTAACTCCTTCAGCCCTGGAGCACCCTATTTCAGCTGGTGTGTCACCCATGGTTACCTACATTCTCCACCTCTAGGTACTGCTCTACCACAGTGCCCTTACTTTGGAGTCCTCCCCATCTGGGAACCCCCAACTTCCCTATACCCATCTTGCCTCAGTGACCCACTGCCTGTCTTCATCTAGCCCCTGCCTCGGGGCAAAACTGCAGTCTGAAATGGCCACTCACCACTGGCAAGGGGATGTGGACCTGCTGCCTTTGCCTCCCCTGGCTGCCTCTGTAGCCTTGGTACTCTCAGGCCTTGCTTCAGGTCCTGCAGCCTGGGAACTTGCCTAGCCAGAGCTTCCCCAGCTCTGCCTGCCTCCTCGCAGCCCTGCTCTAACTTCAGCCCTAGAATTCTCAGGCCTTGTCTGAGGCTCTGCAGCCAGGGAGTAGGGTCAGGCCAGGGCTCCCCCATGCTGCCTTGTCTCAGCACATCACCCAGCTTCCTTAGCAGCTAGATCAATCCTGCTCCCTAATTAGAACAAAACTTCTCCTCCTCCTGGAGCCCTTATTTATATAGCCCCAGCAGGGGCCTTACTGGCTAATTCCTGCCACAGCTGTAGGGCTTTGCTCTCAGCCCTCTCCCAGGGCTGGGTTTTACTCTTAAAGGGCCAGTCTGGGGCAGATGCCCTATCTCACTAACCAGGGCCGTCCTTAGGCATACGCGGAGTAGGCAATCGCATAAGGCACCACGCTTTCTGGGGCACCACTCTGCCGGCCCGGGACGGTGGGAAGCATACGCGTGCGCTCTGCACTGGAGCCAGTAGGGGCGCTGCCAGCACTTACGTCCCCACCAGAAGACCCTACTGGGCTGAGGGACTCTGGCAAGGTGACCCCAGCTGGGGAAGGGAAGCTGTCAAACCAGGCGGCAGCATCAGGGGAACCGGGGCTGCACTGGGAGCAGGGTCATGCGCAGCGAGCCGGAGGGGGCGGGGTCACGCGCGGCGTGGTGCTGAGCGGGACACGGGGGAGTAGAGCCTCGCTAGAGGTGGGACTGGCCATGTTGTGATGGGCCGGGGCTGTGAGCGCCGAGTGGCCCAGCTCTGGCTCCGGCACATGTTCTGGATCCTGGGCTGTGGGGACTTTTGGGGCCCGATTGCAGCAGACTCCAGCCCTGCAAACAGGAAGGCAGAAGGTAGGTGAGGGGGAGGTGTGGGAGAGGAAGGGGCTTATGCTGAGAGGAGGGGGCAGGTCAGGAGAAGAAAGGGCAAGGCACCAAGAGGCAGGAGTGCAGGAGAGACTAATGTGGGGGGGGGGGGGAGGGGTGGGAGAGGAAGGGGCTTGTGCTGAAGGGAGGGGGGGAAGGTCAGGAGAAGAAAGGAGAAGGCACCAAGGGACAGCATGAAGGAGAGACAAATGCCAGGGGGCCAAGTGGAGACAATGAGGGAAAGGGCAGGAGGGGAGGTGTCAGTGGGAGGGGAACAGGGTGATGCTGGGAGAGGAGAGGAGAGGAGAGGGGAAGGGCATTGGGGGCTGGAGGGGGAGGTGCTGGGAGAAGGCTTGAAAGGAGGGGTGGGCATGAAAAAGGTGGGGATGGAGCAAGTAATGTGTGAGGGCAGGAGGGGAATGGGGCAGAGAGTGGTGAGGGGGTGGGCTTCAGGGAAAAAGAGGGCAAAGGGGGTAGGGGCAGTAAGGGAAGGAGGAGGCGCCAGGAAGGTCCAGGGGTAAGGGAAGATGCAGATGCCATGGGATTCTGGAGGTGAAGCAGAAGGGCAGACACCTGCAGGGGAGAGACCAGCACCAGAGAGGCAGGACAGGTGTGTAGAGGGAGGTATTAGAAGAGGGGATGAGGAGAGGTAGCTCACATGATCAGAGTGGGGCTACTGGAGGAGTGGGCACCGGGGGGAGAGAAGGGCTGGTGGAGGGTGGCAGGTCTAAGAAAGGCTGAGGGCAGTGAGAAGGGCAGGAGTCAGGACTGCAGAGGAGGGTGGCGGGTTGGGGGCACCTGGGGAGCTGATGGAGCAAGGGGAGGAGACATGGCAGCAGAGGGAAAAGGTAGGTTTATAAGGTATTTATTAATGTTTGGATGTGCCACTGTGGCACCCAAGTTAAGTCACATGAACTCAGTACTGGTGCACAACATAAAATTCATTCAGCTCATGGGAGGAAACTCTTAGGCTACGTCTACACGGGCATGATTTTGCACAAGAACTCTTTTGCGGAAGAGTTCTTGTGCAAAAACTCTTCCAGAAGAGAGCATCTACACTAGCATGTGCCTTTGCGCAAGAGATGTGCTTTAGTGCAAGAGCATCCATGCCAGTGTAGACGCTCTCTTGCGCAAGAAAGCTCCGATGGCCATTTTAACCATCGGGCTTTCTTGCGCAAGAAATTCATGTTGCCTGTCTACACTGGCCTCTTGCGCCAGAACAGTTGCGCAAGAGGGCTTGTTCCTGAGCGGGAGCATTATAGTTCTTGCGCAAGAAGCACTGATTTCATACATTAGAACGTCAGTGTTCTTGCACAAGATCGCGCCAATGTAGACACACTTCCCCCAGCCTCTCTGCCCTCGAGTTAATGTCACACACATTGGGTTAATGCAATTGCAGGATAGTTGCATGAGGGGGGTTTGGTAGGGGCCAAACTAATCCCTATTGGTAGGCGGATGGTGGGAAAAGTCCCGGGGGCGGAGGTTGTCACATGACACCTTTTACTTTTGGTCATGTGTCCATCTTGCCCTGAGAGTGTTGCCTCCAGAGGCATGGCTAACTGGGGTCAGGGTATGGCTAATGGGGGTGTGTGTGTGTATCAAAGAGTACATTTAAAAACAATTATTTGGGTGCACACCCTAATGAAATATGCTGAGCATGCCTATGACAGGAAGCAGTAGAGCGTGTAACAGCAAGGCTGGGTCCTAGAGAGCTGAATGCACTGCCTGTAGCACAGTCTGAGGGAAGGGATTGGCTGCTGGGGTTTCTGGGAAGGGGAGGGAGTAGGGGTGGAAGCGCAAGTCAGGCATAGGGGCATCAGTTTAATAATCGCGTGAAGGGCACCATAAATCCTAAGGACGGCCCAGACACTAACCCTCATGAACTGTATTCCACCCTGCTATAATTCATTTGGTTAAGGGCATGCATTCACCTTTTCTTTTACATGCCCGATATTTCAAAAAACCTAACACACGAGCTTGGTGACATATTGACATACAGCTAATTGCTGCTGTCCTTACCCACAGGAATAGTCCAATAGAAGTCAACTGCCCAACTTATGTGAGTAAATGAAGCACGACTTGGCCTGTACACTTTTGCATGTGATACTGTGACACTATAGTGTCTTGTGCAAAAACAGATGCAAATGAGGCAAAGCATGGAATATTGCTGCACCTCATTTGCATAATTAATTAGGCTTTGTTTTTGCGCAAGAGGCTTTTGCTTAAAAAGGAGACATCTACACACAAAAACCCCCTCTTGCGCAAGAGCCGTTTTTCCTGAAAAAATGCGGAACAGCTCTTGCGCAAAAGCCTCTTGTGCAAAAATGGAGCCTCATTATACAAATGAAGTGTGGTGATATTCCATGCTTCACCTCATTTGCATATTTTTTGTGTAAAATGGGGGCCATGTAGATGTAGCCCCCATGTTTGTTCTTTGTTTACATGAGGGATTGAGGGGAAGAAGAAGAGTCCCAAGTTCTTTAGCTAGCAGGCATCCTCAACACAGGCCAGCCATTGCCCAGCCTCATCCCCCCAAATTCTCCATTGTATGTGCATTTGTGGGCAGGTACCAGTTAGTGACAGGAAGAGTCATGGTTATTTTGCTAGTACTGCGGACTGAGCACATGGGCATGCGTGTGCATTCATTGAAATGTGTGTTCCCCACCCCCAGAGCATGCGAAGTTTAAATATCCGTAACTGTAAAGCTACTGATTTGATTTTCTTCACTTAACGCTTTTGAGTAGATTGTGAGCTCTTGACAGGGTTTGTGCTTTTAGGGTTGGATGGGAAGCCTGCAGCATGCTGTGGGTGCTACCAGAATATAAAGAACAGTAGGCGTGTGCTTTTTGGATCTTAATGAAATCTAAAAAGTCAAAATAAAAGAAAATACTTCTACCTTGCATTAAACACTACCCATTTCATTTTATACAATGTGCATAACTCAAAAATTAAATAGCCTAAACAAAGTTTACATACAAAGGGGCCTCTGATCCTGCAAGCACTTAGGCACATGAGCAGCTTTACCTATCCCATTAGTTTACCAGACTACGTATGAGAATGATGTTTGTAGGCGTGGACTCCAGCCACTCCCCAGATCCAAAATACAAAAAGCCAAAGCCCCCACTGCTCCTCTCACCTCTTCCAAAACATTTCGATTAAATAAGGATTTGCAACATCTCCAGTGGCAAATCTTGGGACTCTCTCCGAGCTGCCAGTGTAGACATAACCAAGGAGCTTTCAGTAGGGATTGTTAATACCAGTCAATGCATCTTTGGACTTAGAATCCAGAACTCAACTATCCAGATTCAGGCAGTTGTCTGTTCAAGATGTCTCATGCAAATATATGATTACATCTGTTCATAAAGGATATGTAGCCCACTTCCTACTATAAAAGAGGAACACACAGGTTCTGCTGGTGCTGTGTGCAGAGGGAAGTTAAATACAGTAAGATTTTTCCTTCCCTCTGTAGCTTACTATGTGCTGTTTACTTCACTTCTTGTCTAGGGAAGAGTATTTAAACGTTCAGATCATTCACATGACTTTTCAAACACACTGAAACATTCCTACAGAAATTCCCATATGATAAGCTTCATTGTGATGATTGTAAATCAGACTTTACATACAAGACAAAGAAAATGTACAAAATATTATGATGTCCTTTGCAAAAACTGGAGTAAAATTCTTTACCCATTATTACCTCATTCCCTTTTACAACCTTCACGTTCGTTCTAACCAAGTCATCGGATCAGTTTAATCCCCACATTAAGATTTTGTAAGGTTTTTAGACACTCCCTGTGGGTCATAAGCACCTTTTAAAAACAAATCACAGCTACTCAATTGTGAATCCAAATTAAGGATTCAGACTTAATAAACAGCAGTTCTGATGGTGGTACTATATGTTGCAGAACAGGCAGGGAGGGTTAACCTAACCTGTTTGACAGAAGCTGAGAATGAGACACAGAGGATGGATCACTTGATTATTTATTCTATTCATTCCCTCTGAAGCACCTGGCATTAGCCACCATTGGAAGACAGGATATTGGTTTAGTCTGACCCAGCAATGCCATTCTGATGATATAGTTATGCTACACTTAAATTAAATGGTAACCAATAATTTTCACAAGTTAATTAGTAAGGGTAAGAACTAAATTTTAGTTGTGCACTGGTTTGATATTGCCATATCCTTAGATGGCCTCAATAATAGCTCCAAAATTCTGCATTTTTATGGAGAAATAAGTGCTTTTATTCTTCAGTGAGTTCCATGGGACCTTGCCAGTTGAAATCAAAGGTAAGCAACCCACGTGCATAAAGCTCATTATAGGACCTTTATTACAGGCCAATTTAGAAATAATTTGCCAGGACAGCTAGCCTGACAAACCAACTGAAATTAAACAATTGTCTTACAATAGGTACGTGCATACTATACCTGGAAGTAATGCCACGTGTTTCAGTCATGTTATAACGTAGAGAGGAAAAACAGTTAAAAAATACACCACACACATATGAAAAAATAAATATCAGCTCTCATAAACAGAAAGACATATAATATATAAAAATACAACCAGTTGCTTTTACAAGTCATCAGATTTAACACCTCCATATCTGAAGCTTGTTATACAGCACCAGCCTGTTATAGAAACGTTTCTTTAAAAACAAACAAACCTGCTTTCTCTGTCAAATGCCTGAGGTTTGGTATTCTGTACCAGCTTCCAAAACTTGCTTTTTGTATTATGCAATACCAAAAACCTTCATGTAGGGTTTAAAAATCCCTAATTGCTCCCAGAAGTATGATGTGAATAGTGAAAAGATATTACTGTACCTTCTCACAATTATTTAGGATGTGACAAAGAAGATACCAAACTATTTTCTTTTCAAACTCCAAAGATTTTACACTGCTTAATTAGGTCCACAAATCCCCAAAATATTCTTTATCATAAACATGTTTTTAAAATCTTTTCAGCAGTATTAGCTGCAGTATAACCGCGAGTCTTAAATCTTCAAAGCACAAAAACAGTTCCTTTGCAAGTGTCAGAG